GAAGAAAATTTCTATCTTCCACGGTTGCTGAGAAAAGCTGAACCAGAATGTACATATTAGATAAAAAACGGTAAATAAGAAAACTCTTTTTTTTTTGTGAATCTCATGATTTTTCAACCAGTTGCATGCATTTGGGAAGGGTTTGACTTGAAATTTTAGGTCAGTAGTGTTGCTATGCCAACTTTCTGAATGAGATGCTGAACCATTTAAAACAAGGGTGTTAAACCTGCAGGGCTTGTAGAGGGGCTGGGAGGGGAAAATGAAGGTGGGCCTCAGGGTTTTAGCCTTATGCTAAATAGACAGCCTTATCTTAGTGTGGAGTAAAGACGTTCAGAGGCAAAAATCAGACTTTCCCACTTACAGTAACTAACAGCCATGGCAGTGATGGTCACATGGTGATAGTCGGTATTCGGTGGCATAGCACCATTGACTTCAGCAGAGCAACTCAAATTTATAGCCTCAGAAGATCTGGCTGAAGTTCTTTAGACAGTTTTAAAAGTACAGTGTTGAAAGGAAAACTTCTCAGTGCAAAGATTCACTAATCCCTTATCAAAAAGCACTTCAGTAGCAAGTGCTGCAGATAAGGCACCAGCTTGCTATCTGAATCAGACACGCAACTGGGAATGCCAAGAAGGATGGAGAGTTACCCCCGTACCTTTATAATTAAAGTGATACTGCTTTGATCTGGGATTAATATTTGGAAGCAATCTTTGGAACGTGGTAATTCAGTAACCTAGGGACGTATTTTAGAATTCACACCTTTAGGTTTCTGATTGCTATATAATAGAGGAATTTTCTTTGTCAAAGAGCAATGCATATCTATCTCATAAAGACACGTAACATAGTTTGACCTTGAAGGAATTAATCTCTTCTGAGGCATAAGGCTTTTGAGGAGACCTGATTATAATGAGAGTTTTCTGATCATGTACTTGAGGCAAATTTCTTCCATCACTGCATAGAGTAAAAGGGTCCTGGGAAAGATCTTGTGGGTGACACACAAATTCTAAACCTGGACTCTATTGCAGATACTCTAGAAACCCCTTGGACTGTGTGAGAGGCCAAGATCTGGGGGATGACCCCTGGCATGGGAGTATATATATATAGTATAGGGGTGGGACTTCTGGTCCCAAGATGGCAACCAGGGGGTGGGGCACCTGTCAAAGGGCTCCCCTTGTGGCCCTGGACAACTCACCAAAACTCGTTAAGCGGCCCTCCAGCCAAAATAATTGCCTGCCCTTGATATATACCCTGAAGTCCAGGGCTACTGAGGTTATTGGTTCTATAGTGACCAATTGTGGGTTAAGAAGAGGGGCTGAAATTACTGGTTCTGTTACACTGGATCCAATATCCTTCCTAGATGTGGGAAGTTGCAGGAGATATAACGGCCTCACTACTACTGTAGAACCTGTGGGAGACCTGGAATTAAGATTTCTTCCTTTTCCACCCAAAAAGACCTTTCCAAACAACTCATGCTAAGTATGGGCAAAAGTTACTCCATACTGTCCATTTAGTCTTGTAAGTAAATGGGTGGAATTTGTAATTACATAAATACTATACAGCAAGGTGAAGCAAGCCTTCTTAATAAACATGACATGGAAAACCCCTAGAAGTCAATCACCTTTTGCTTTATCTTTCACCACTGTAGATGCTGCAGCTTGAAAGCTTATGATGACTTTACCTTTGAAAATAATTAATAGTCTTGCACGGTTTTAAGTTGATGTTGATGCCAATGAAGGTACACTTATTTTAAAAACTAGGAGAACTGAGATCAGCATTACAGCCTGATAACATTGGCTTGTGTCCACGGAGAGAAGCCATTAGGGAAATATCAGTCTATCTCAATGTACTTTTGCATTAGACTCCCTCCTGGAAGATAAGGAGGAAAAATGTTCATTGTTGGGGTTTTTTTCCTTAACATACTACAGTGTTTCATTAGTAGTTTGAGATACCGTAATAAGCGCTCTAATTAAGGTCAAGATGTCATTTCTATTTTAACTCCTATTTCAGTGGCTTATAATTTTTTCAGTGATTCCTTCTCAGGTACTTAAAAGGGCAAGGTCAGATACATCCCATATGCTTTTAAAGTGTAATATTATCTTCTTTGATGTGATAAGAAGAAGGGGGGTTGGACCAGATGACCTCCTGAGGTCCCTTCCAACCCTTCCTATGATTCTCTGATAATCCAGGAGAGAATGTAATTTAGTTTATCAGGGCCAAATTCAGAGTTGGCATAAACAGCTTCTACTTCACTTTGCACCCCATCTCCAACCCAAATATATGCTTAGGAAATAATAAACATCAGGACATTGCAGAGAAATAACAGTAATTGAAGTCAATGGAGCTAGACTAATTTATGCCAAACCACGACCTAGCTCATATTCAAAAGAGCTATGAATAGGTGCAAAATAGACACCACTGTTTTGTTTTGTGTTTTTTAATCCAAAATGCCTCCCTAAGAATAGTCAGAGTGCCCAGATATGCTTAATGTAATTAGTCATGGGTGAACATTTCAGGCGAATGCTCAGAATTAATGTTAGGGGGTAAAAGCCCATTTGAGTGCCAAGGCATATGTCACGTTCAGTATTTTTGGGTATCTAAATCACCCAATGACATTCAGCTTCACCTTGTGTAATGGCCTGAATCATGTTTACATACCTAAATACCTTACAAGACTACATTTTCCCCCTTCATAACTATGTCTGTCCCTATTACATATGCCTGATCAGCTTTTCAATTCAGAATTATCTCCCTCAATTTATGCTCCAATTTCAACTTAGTTTCAGCCTATGCTTTAACTTCTCTACAGATGCAGAGTTTCTGTGTAAACCCCCAGAAGTGGAAACACCCAAATGGGCCAGCCTGTCAACCAATAACCCAGGACAGTCCCCAAACTCTGGCAGATCGTGCACCATCAATTTAAAATGATACAACCTTAAGTACCACCAGCAAATTTTTGTTGTATAAATTAATTATAATAAATCTGTTAATGCATACCACTGACACGTTGTCTGCATCCCACTGGTGGTACCTGTACCAAAGATTGGGAACTGTTGGCCTAGGAGTTAAATTACCTGCCCAGAACAATGTAAGACCCGTTTTAGGCCCATCTGCCCCTCAGGAGATGTGAACCCAGATTTTACACATCACTGGACAACATCCTAATCCCAAACTATGCAGGACTGAAAGCTTCTGCCTGTTGAAGGTAGGACACAAAGCAGGCACAAGGGAAAACACTGTAGGAACAGAAGGAAGGAGCCAGGCTCTGTGGCTCAAGGAGGTGGATGCTGCTGTGGTAGGGGGGAAAGGAGACCATTTTTCCACTGTTATTCATGCATTTTTCATGATAGTCATTGGCAAAACTCCCATCAACAGTTTGGGATCAAAATTCCCATCAACAGCCCTGTGATCGGAGAGCAGGTGTCTTCCCAGGGTGCTCCACCTCCTTGAACCTCCCAGTGCCACAGCAAGGAGGAGAGACCCAAACTACACTCTTTGGAAAGCCTCTGAGTAGAAGTCCTTATTACAGTCCTCCATCATGTAAGAAAAACCTGCTGGGAGACAAGACCCAAAATCCCTTACTGGAAAGACTGTGTTCCTATGTTTGGAAAGAGAGGGGATGCCAGTCTAGTGGGTTGATAGCAAGAAACTGCAAGATCTCTGACTTCCAGGAAAAGAAATCCCTCTTGTGTATGATATTCATCCTTCTCCAACCCTCTGTAACTACCTCACCCCCCTTACGGGACGTTGGTAGACTCTCTCTACTGTCACATCTCACCATACCTCTGGGAGGGTGGAGTGGGCCCACTAAGTGTTGGCGATCCATTTGTTATCAGGTCACCCTGAGCACCGCAAGCCACAGTCCCTACCCACCCTGACTGCTGCAACTCCATCGGGCCAGATCCTGCCCCCAGTTACTCAGATGCAATCCAGAATAGTGCCATGACTTACAATGGCCTGATTCCAGATGTACATCAATGTACTTGGTGCATTTGGCATCAAAGGATCCTTGAGCTGAATACATGGATGGCTTTTGGAGGAGAGACTAAAAGGCATGGGTCCTTCCTTTCCAGGACACAGCCCTCCATCTTGAGCACTAGGCTCCCTCTCACTTGCTCTCCTTGTAGTCCAATGATGTTTTCTTGGCTGCCCAATAAGTCAACATCAAGAAGAGGGGCAGGTGGTATTCACAGCCACATCTACTGCAGAGCTCAGGGCTTGGGGCATTCTGCTAAGCCATACAAGGCATGAACCACTGTAATGATTGGAAAGTGTGAACCTTGTATGCCTTAGCAGAGTTCCCGAAACCCTGAGATCTAGAGTAGATGTCACTGTGAACACCTCCCAGCCTGATTGTTAGAGGAGGGACACATTACTCTTGTTTGCTCTTGTTTGCATAGACGTTCATCTTCTCAGCTCATCAGTCCTGCTAGGATGCTTATGCCTTATGTTGTCAGGAGGAAATAGGATCCTGAGTTGATGGAGGCATCTTAGCACAGGTTAAAGTTCACCATTGGAATGAATAAAGAGCCATACACTTCCTGGGTAAATGAAGATCTGTCTTTGGACATATCTCAGATCTGCTCATTGACACGAAGGGGAGAGCTGTGTGGTTCTGCAGGCGGAAGTAGTTTTTGCCTCCAGGAGTGTGAGAGCTGCATCGAAATACAGAACTACACCTACACAGGCATAGGTGAAGGTTATCATGACCCTCCTTGTGTAGGCCAGGACTTTGCTGATAGCTGTGCATTAGGCACTGGGTGGGCAAAACAGAATTTAGCCCATGATATTTCGCTGAGGGACAAGCACTTTCCAAGCAGTAGAGTGGTATAAAACTGGTAAAGTCACAGCCAAGGTCTAATGAGGGATTTTATAGAGGTTTCTGGCTAATGAGAAATCTTGTTTAAGTTCTAGGAGGTTGAAATAATATTGCACTTTTCAGCAGACAAATGACTAACCCCCTTTCTGGAAATTAACTGTTGTATTTTCTGATCTATTTCTAGCTGCCGATACTGGGTACTCTTCAGCTGGAACAGATGTTGTTGTCATTGCAGGTAAGTGTCGAGTGCTATTCAAGGTACTGTTACAACTAAGAGTTGTTTCCCATCTTATACAATCACATACTTGGTCAACTTCTTACAAAAGCCAGTGTACAGATACTAGACAATGTTCAGAAAGCAGAACAAAGCATTTCGGCCCATGCTTTTTGTAATGTTTACAGCTTAGTTTTCCATTTTGCCTAGTTCCTCCTACATTTTAAATCCAGGAGGGACCATTGCAATCGTGTGGTCTGGCTTCCTGCATCACCCAGGCTATAGGGCTTCTCTGAATTCATTTGCCTTCCAGCTGAAGCAGATCTTTCAGAAAAAAAAAAACCCCATCCAGTCTTAATTTCAGAAGTTGACAGTGATGGAGAATCTAACACATTCCTTGCTATTTTTCTTTCCAGTGGTAAATCACGCTCCTTGCTAAAAAAGTTTTGCTTTACATCTGCTCGGAATTTGTCAGCTGCTTAAGGTTAAGCACATGTCGAAATGCAAAGCTAACCCGTGCCTCATCGTTTTGGTGAAGATACGATGTTATTTTATTCTACAGTCACATCCCACCCAGTAGGAATTGCAGGGTTACATTGAACTTAGCCAAATGTTGAACCTGTAGCCAGGAGAGGGGAAGAATGAGAAATGTCCAGAGTTTTGGATCATGTTTATGCCAGGGTGAGACTGTGGTGACTCCTCACTGAATACAATGTCATCCAGCCATTTAAGTTACCATCATTTGCAGATGCAATTAGTTCACTGGCCATTGTCCCTGCATAAGGAGCTTCCCATTTGTCATTATTATTGTCCCCACTTCACAGAAGGAGAAACTGAGGTATAGCATAGTGGGATATACAAATAAAAATCACTATATACTGAACGATTTTCTGAACGATGCCTTGAGCCTACTGAGAGATACCTTGAGTCTAAAAAGTTGGAGAACCACTGGGCTAGAGATTTCATATGAAATCTATGAAATCTCTAACCCAGTGGTTCTCAAAGTTTTTAGACTCAAGGCACCCCTCAGAAGGCTCAAGACATCATTCAGAAAATACCAGCACTTAATTTTCACTCATTTTTTGAATGCAGGAAAGTAATAGAGCAATTCTGTTGCAAAGAACTCAGAAAGAGCACAAGAGGTCAGAATAGTTTTCACACTATGGGCTCCTCTTTGAAACCTTTGGGTTTATCTTCTGGATCGTGTTTGCACCCCTAAGAGTGCTAATATTGGTTGGCACCCTGCCATACCTGTTTCAGCAACAGTTTGGAGGAGGTGAGACTCTCAACTTGCTGGGATAGTAAAGGGGTGGTGTGAGGACTACCAAACCATGCCAACACTGAAAGTTGAAGAGGATCCAAAGGAAGGCAACAGAAATGGCTTGGGAGCTGGGGCACAGGACTTGTGAGGAGAGGCCCAGGGAACTGGGCTGATTTATTTGGAAGAAGAAAAGACTGAGGGGGGATTTGATAGCAGCCTTCAGCTTCCCGCAGGGGGGTTGCAAGGAGGAAAGAGCTGGACTGGTCTCAGGGGGGGCAGATGACAAGACAAGGAGCAATGGGCTCCAGTTGCAGCAAGGGAAGTTAAGGTTGGATATTAGATAAAACTTTCTCACAGGGAGGGTAGTAAAACACTGGAACAGGTTACATAGAGAGGTGGTGGGCTCTTCTTCCATGGAGGTTTTTAACACCCAGCTCGACAAAGCTTTGTCTGGGATGATGTAGTTGGGGCTGGTCCTGCTTTGAGCAGGGGGTTGGACTAGATGTGACCTCCTGAGGTCCCTTCAACCCTCATTTTCTATCATTCTATGACATCCCCTTCAACACTGCCAGTTACAGTATACCGGACTCATTTTTTTTTTAGTATATCAGCCTGAATGATGATGCCAAGGGCAGGTTAAATAATGAAGATTCATTATTGACAACCAACTTGGCATAAACAGGAGTAACAATATAATAAACAGTGAGACCAAACAGGAATGAGACAGGACAAAAACAAACAGGGACGATAAGGAATAATATAAACAATATTTTCCCAACTCTACATTGCCCACCAAGGGTTCAATGAGATGAAACAACTTCAGATGAGTAGACAGGGAGACAGGCAGCTTGTGTGCGATGAATCACATCAGCAGCTCTCTCCTTCTCTTAAGAGTTACTTTTACACAACTAAACACCACACAAGACTCTCAAGGGGCACGTCTACACAAGACACTTACTGTGCATTAGCCTAATTACACTGCACAGTAGAGTGGCAAATAAAAACTGCTAATAACCTACTGAGCAGTGTTATTAAGCTAAGGCACAGTAAGCATGACAAACTAACTAGGTGCCAACACTACTGTGCAGTAACTCGGGTTACTGCATATTTAGTTAGGACTTTATTAAGCAAGTACTAAACTAAATGCACAGTATCTAACATGCATTAATGAACATGTAGACACGCTCAAGGACTCTTTCTCTTCCCTAAACCAAGGTGCATTATGATCCACTCTTCAGATCCTAATCCCCAGCACTCCAATCCTCAGATCCCTTTCAAGAAGTCACCACTCTCCTGAGCTCAGCTTGCTGGAGACCCTGAGGATCTTTTATTCACAACATTTTATTCTTATTTAGCTCCCCATCAGACCACTTTTCCTAGCATCATAGACAATGAGGGTTGAAAGGACTTCAGGAGGTCACATCTAGTCCAATCCCCCTGCTCAAAGCAGGACCAGCCCCAACTGGATCATCGCAGCCAAAGCTTTGTCTAGCTGGGTTTTGAAAAGCCCCAAGGATGGAAACTCCTCCATGCCTGTGGGTAACCTGTCCCAGTGCTTCACCACCCTCCTAGGGAGAAAATTACTCTTAATATCCAACCTCAATTTTTCTTGCTTCAGCTTGAGCCCATTGCTCCTTGTCCTGTCATCTGCCCCCACTGAGAACAGCCCAGCTCCATCCTCTTTGCAACCCCCCTGCAGGGAGTTGAAGCCTGCTATTAAATCCCACCTCAGTCTCCTCTTCTCTAACTAAATCAACCCAGTTCCCTCAGTCTTTCCCCATAAGACATGTCCCCCAGCCCCCGCACAATTTTTGTCACCCTCCACTGGACTCTCTCCAATGTGTCCACATCCTTTCTGTAATTGGAAGCCCACAACTGGACACAGGACTCCAGATGTGAACTCACCAACGTTGAATAGAGGGGAATAATTACTTCCCTTGAACTTCTGGCAACACACATACTTATCCAGTGATCTTAAACCTTTTGTCTGTTAGTCAGACATTCTTCCAATCACCCCTCCTATATTTAACTAACTTTTGTCAGTCCAACCTGTCACTTAAAAGTGTCATTCACCTCCTCTTCAGAACTTTCCGGCTCTTTTTAAACTCTTGGCTGAGCATGCTCACCCAGGCCAAGGGTTCAGAAAGTTCTGGAAAGTTCTTGAGTTTACTGTTTATTGTACATGCACCAGTACCAAACTGCAGTTCTCCCTCTACACACCGTTGGAAGGATCTCAAGGCACCCCAGGGTGCCACAGCACCCTGGCTGAGAGTCATTATTCTACCCATTCATAGTTTCATAGTTGGTAGGGTCGGAAGGGACCTGAGCAGATCCAACCCCCTGCCGTGGCAGGAAAGAGTACCGGAGTCAAACTACCCCAGCAAGGTGTTCATCCAGCCTCCTCTTAAAAACCCCCAGGGTAGGAGCCAGCACCACTTCTCTTGGAAGCTGGTCCCAGATCCCAGCCACCCCGACAGTGAAGTCGTGCCTCCCGATGTCTAGTCTGGATCTCCCCTCTGCCAGCTTGTGACCGCTATTCCTGGTCACTCCTGGCAGTGCTCGGGGGAACAGGGATTTCCCCAATGCCTGCTGGTCCCCTCTGACTAGTTTGTAACAGGCCACTAGATCCCCCTCAGCCTTCTCTTGTGGAGGCTGAACAGGTTTAGGTCCCGTAGCCTCTCCTCGTAGGGCCTGCCCTGCTGCCCCCTGACCATGTGGGTGGCCTCCTCTGGACCCTCTCCATGCTGTCCACGTCCCTCCTGCAGTGCGGCGCCCAGAACTCGGCACAGTACTCCAGCTGTGGCCTGACCAGTGATGCATAGAGGGGGAGGATCACCTCCTTGTCTCTACTTGAGATGCACCTGTGGATGCACGACAAGGTCCGGTTAGCCCTGCCAACTGTGACCCTGCATTGTCGGCCCATGTTCATCTTGGAGTCAACAATGACTCCAAGATCCCTTTCTGCCTCCATGCTCTCGAGAAGGGAGTTTCCCATCTTATAAGTGTGCTGCTGGTTAC